TAAGGAATGCTGGGAGAGAGAGGGGAGATGGTCTGTAATAAGGAATGCTGGGAGAGAGAGGGGAGATGGTCTGTAATAAGGAATGCTGGGAGAAACAGGATGGTCAGTAATATGGTCAAGCAAATGAGAAAAGAGAAAATGATAAACAATTACTGTACTTCCACAAAGCAACAAGCACCCAAAAGTATACGTATGCAAAAGTATACGGCTGAAAACTGCATGATCACCGCTACACATAACAGATTGTAAGAGACTCTACTACAGGCAACACAACAGCAGAAAGAAATGAATCCATAAGGAGGTAAAATTCAGCTGAATTAGAAGAACAGATGATGGCAATTTCATACCAGTCGCGCAATGAGTACATCTGCGAATACTTTTGCGAGAAGCAAGGCCGACAAATGGCCATTAGCTCAAACTTTCCATAATCTGTGGTAAAACTTCTATTAACAGTCTGATTTACGGAAGTCCAGAAAGGACACACTTTGTTTTTTTCTTCCCGTCATCTCGAGATGACAAGATATTTATCTTGTGATCTCAACATAACAGAATTTATCATCTCGAGATCACGACTTTTATTTTTTGATTTCCTATGTGAGATAGATAATTGCTGTAACTGCCTGCTTCACTGTGCGCATCACAGAATCAGCACACAGCACTATGCTATTGAAATAAACCCCCTGTTTGAACCGCTAATAATCTAATAAGATAATAATCAGTCTTAACCAAAATGTATTGTTTCTGTCCACTTTTGTCATTGTGAGAAAATCGACTTGCACTCTTTATGAGGGTGTGCCACAAAGGAGGACTTCTCAGTTAGATGGGTTAACTTAAGCTACAAGTCATGATTGTCCAATCAGAGTTTAGGTAAGGAGCATTCCTATTAGACAATCATGACTTCTAGCTTAAGTTAAGCCATTTAACAGAAATTCTGCTTTGCGGAACACCCAGAGTTGCCAGATCCACGGTTTCCCCCCAGTTAGGCTATTTTGAAAATACAGTTGCAGGTATATATTCAGAGGTCACAGGGTTGCGGGTTTTTGGGGCTGCTTTCATGATGTTCCCCAGCAGCGGATTATAAGACTTAAAAGAAATTAATTATTATGAATAGTGACTGGTAATGCTGAGTAATACTGAATTGCTAGTCACTTGAAGTCAGAGACAGACGTACACGGAAAGCAGGGATGGCAACTCTCCCTCGTCCGGTGTGACACTCTTCCAGACTCTCAAGCAAGCAATCTTACGGCAAATATATATATTATTCCATTATGAACCTAAAATTAGCTAGATCAGTTTGCAAACCCTGCAGACTAATTATAACGTAATAAAACTGTTACATCCGTGTAAATGCGTCTGCATGTGTGTGCAGACTAGTCTCGAACAGGAAATCTCACTCCAGCCAGTTGATGTGACGTCATTGCGTTTAGCTGTGGTTTTAAAATTTTAACTATTTAAAAATTAAAACATTTGAATGTGATCGGCATGCAAAATACTGGTTTATTTCTTTGAGATACAGTATACTGGGATTTCAAATACTGGGTTAGTTTCAGCTTCCGCTTGGCAGATTTTAAGCAGACCTTGGACTGGAGATTTTTGCTAGACCCAGCAACACTGGGAAACCCCCCGATAAAAGTTATGTGGCAATCACAAGAAAATGAGTGATCTCAAGATAACTTTGTTATTTAAAAAGTTATATAATACACAGTATGTTTTATATAATATGCATATTTTATATATGTTATTTGTTAAATTTGTTGTTAACTTTCATCATCTTCAGAAAACGGGGGAGAAAAAATTTATGAATCTCTGGACTTCCATTCTGATTTGGCGTGAGGACACAAATCAAGCAGGTTACAATTCACATTTGCAGCACACGTGGTAAATGCTAGAACCAGGAAGTAAATAGGGCAGGTTGCCAGAGTATTATCCAAGTGAATGTGAGAAATGTAACAGCTACAACAAGATGTGAAGAGAAACAACATAGCAATAGGCACGTTCCCACCTCAGGAACTCGGCCCGATTGCAGTTCCTCAGATGTAGCCCCTGAAAAGTGGCCAGTGGAACTACCAAAGTTACCATTCAAGGTAAACCTAGAAACTTAGAATCAGAAACCTGGTTCCAGAACTTCAGTGGGAAAGTGTCTAAAGTCAGGCTAAGCTGAGCAAGTTCTGAGCTCTGCTGCGCCCCATTGGCTCACAGACGGAAAAATGCGACTGGAACAGTGTGTAGTTACTTTGGCAGGCTTGAGAAGGTGGTGCTTCCGACACCCATTTCTTGGTGGCGATGTCACACAGGAAGCCAGGAAGTGTGTTAAAATAGCCCTGACTGCACTGCAGATGGCACAGCTGTTTCAGCTCCAACGGCTCATCGCAGAGAAGTGCACCATGGGTAATGAGCACATCCTCAAATGGAAGTGGACACTGTGGCGCTGAAAAATGAAAACATAGAAACCGGAGCACAATTCAGCTTGATAGTCAACAGCTAGATATCCTAATGAGGTCAAAGGATTAAGTATATCCAGGTTAAAGTTCACACATGCATCATGAATGGGGTATATAGCAGAGAGACGAGGAGCAACAAGTAATGCAAGATTGAGGTTCTTAACCTAAATAATCATATATTTTTATTACTGAGCGAATTACTGACCAAAAAAATGTGGGGAAAAAAATGGAACAAATAAAATAAAGACGAAATGTGGAAAGTGTACCATGACAGGCTGGGCCCTTTGCAGTGCTACGTGTGACTCTGGTGCCAGGAAGCTCCTGGCCACTCTGTGGCTGGACACACCAGCAGTCGTCCTGGTCACACTGAACTGGAGTAAAGAGCCGCCCATCCTCCTGGCAGTCTGGCTCATAGCCAATCCCCGCTTCGCGTCGGGTCACCTGACGCTTCAGCATCTCACACCAGCCGGGGCCTGTTGACATCCAACAGGCGGAGAGCAAGCGGTATCGTTTTAGCATTCTTCAGGAAGGTGGGAGTACAGGTGCATTAAATGACCTTACATTGCAGGTCCCCGCTTTTGCTGCGTGAAGCTGACTGGATGGCTCTGCTGGTGACGGGACTGACACACCAGGCCTCGTCGCCATCCAGCTCTCCCGTCTGCAGGATCGCAAAACCCCCATCCTGAAAAGCAAGTCCGTCGCCTCAGTAACCAAGAAACAACAAACTCATGAAAGTAAACACCCCAAACGAAAGCACATGCAAACCTGTTGACAAGAAGGAACATGCGAAGGAAGCGGTTTGATACTAGTTTCAGAGACTGATGGGATCCAGCCAGAAAGCAGAGCCCGTGTCTGAGCTCGCTGGCATGGGGTCCCACCTGAAAGAGAAATCAAAGCTATAAATGTGAAATCCCACAGTGGCCGGGACCAAATAGGCGGAAAATATCAGCTGGAATAACCCACTTGCTGATACATCACAGGACGCCCACTAATGACCCCAAACACTGCACAGAACACACTTACACTGCGGTAACTGTGCAGTGCGCCCGGTCAGGGAGCCCTCGATGTAGCTGCCATCCTTGTCAACACACCAGCAGTGGCCTGTCTCCAGGGCATTCAAAGATAAAACATGGGCACGCATGCTATTAACTGCACTAGAAGATTAGCCTTCACCAAAATAGCTTTTCATTTAATACCACAAAGCCACATAAAACCAGAGAGGCCTTAATTCAGTGGCTAATCGTAACCTTAAGGCAAAAGCACCAATGATAATTAATACGGGATACTGTCAAATCAGACCACAGGAGAGCATGTGACCTGTGCTGTAGTAGCACTGCGTGGGCAGCCATTGGCCATCGGCGTCACACTGAGGACTGTGGGGCTGGTATCCCAGCAGGAAGGCCTCTCTCCCCAAAGCTGGGGGACCGAAATGAGTCCGCCAGGAGAAACGCAGAGCTGCAGGAAGGAGCCGGCAGAGAGCAGTCATCACCATCAGCTCATCAGCATCTGGAAGATACTACGACGACCGGCAATAGGGAACCTTCTTAAATTCAGTTACCACGTGCAGTGCATGTCATTTTATGAGGAGACAATCAGCATGGAGCATGCAGAGCGATGGTTTGTCAGGACTGAAGCCTGCAGTTAGAAACTTAACCAGAGCTGCTCTAGAAAAGTCATGCATCTGCTAACATGCGAAAATTCACTGGAAAAAAGCGTAGCAATTAGGTAATAAATAAAAATAATAATTATTATTATAAGCTCAGGTCACTCGGGAGAAGCAGCCGCTCTATATCTCTTAACACACCGTTAAAATGGTGAGTACATATGACAGGTTAAGAAGGCTTCATATTCACATCTCAGACTGAGCATCAGTGACTGACATACTGGAGTGGGCAGCGAGGTGCAGGGCTGAGTCTGCAGAGCTCAACAAGCGCTCAGATATGAGGCCCCCAGGCAGGTCGTTCTGGAGCTCCTCTGGCGTGAGACTGAGGCCTCTGGCTAGCAGGAAGCTGTAAGCTAGGGGCACGTGTGAGCCGTTGGAGACCGAAATCACATCCTCTGCCTCCTGCAGAAAGCGGCTGAGCTGACGGTGCACCTGGGAGCAGGGGCCCAGACCTGGAGGAGGAGCAGAGGGGCACAGAAGAAGCCAGACAAAAATCAGGATGAATCCGGGACAGAGTGGAGAGACACAGTATCTCTGTAAGGACGTTCTTCACCCACATTTTGGAATTTGGTTGAGCGTGGCTTCGGTGTCGGCGATCGCGTCTCCGTTTTCACCGACACACCAACAGCGGCGGAGTTCGAAGTGTCCCAGGGGCTCGCTGAAGTCCGACAGCAGCCCCGGGTAGGCGGTGATGTTCCTCTGGAGCAGCCGCCACAGGCTCAGCGGGTTCAGGAAGACCGACGGCCCGGATACCATCTCCGGATCCCCTTCCAGAACCTCCTGAGGGACGTCGCCGAACTCTGCGTACCTTGAGAGGACAGCGAAGACCCTGTGGTGCCCGGCAGCAAACAGCTCCTTCAGGAAACCATGGAAGGAGGCCATGGCTACAGCGTTTTCCCCATACGCCCTGATGTTACTGATGAGCTCGGTGATGGGGATGTCTTTGCCAGCACCGTTGACATTGACCCACTCCCGGTAAAAGGTGAACGCCGACTCCGGAGGCCCATCACACTGGACCGGGTGCCAACTACCAGCCACGTCACAATGAGGTATGTGGAAATCAGAAAGTCGGGGCTTCGCAGATGGAGCCCACAGCACAGACCGGACTGCGACCACAAACTGCTCTGCTGCTGCAGCCTGACAGTCCGTGGGACCTAAACAGGCACAACAGACATGATGTCACCTTCCATTCAAGCCCTAATTGTAACATTACAAGCTGGTTCAACCGCATTTTAGCAATCAGAGGACAGGAAACCCATATGAAACTCAATGACTGATAATATTAAACATACTGTGAGCTGGATTACTTGGGCTGCCGGTCAGCACCAGGGTTTGCAGCCAATGGGAAACAAGGTCAGCAGAGGGAACCAGGTGACACTGGGCGGTGACTGATGACCAAGGTGGGTAGTTCTGGTCCAAAGTTAAATTCCAGACTATGATTATATTTCAACCAACCAGTTGAGTACTCCGTGACTCTTTATACTCTAGTAGTTGGTTGAAGTAAAATCTTGGTCCAGACTTTTAATCTCTGGACCTAGATTAGCCACCTTTGCTGATGATACAAGATAACCCCCAGGATAACCAATAAAGGAGGATGGAATCAAACACAGACCAGGGGTAGCGTGTGTGTGAAAGGAAAAAAAATCCAAAAACAACTGAAAAACTATTCTTCCCACAAAGTATAAGGAAGCAAAAATCAGAGGCATAGCCTTAGTGTTTACCTCCTTATCAAGATTTAAGCTCTGCAGTTGTTTTATGACAGACATAAGTTATGCCCTGGCAAGTCTCGGGAACATTTAAAGGCACGGTGGGTTACTCAACAGTTATGATAATAGTAGGAAATTACATGGTGGCTGCCAAGGAGATTTAAAATGAAAGCCTCTGGACGATTTGGAGCCTTCTGAGCCAATCAGCCACCTGTAAGGCTTGCAGACAACTGAGGACGCATATGCATCTGGAAGTGCTCTCAGGTACCTGGGCCGAGGGAGTCTAATGCAAAAACAGACGCAGCAGGAAGAACTCACAGTGCTCGCTCTGGCTGAGGGTGACAGCCCCTCGCTTCCCCCCACTGCTGTCCACACAGAAGCAGTTCCCCCCCGAGCACTGCCGCACCACGAAGCTGCCGTCGCTCTCGCACTTGGGCACGAAGAGCTGTGAGCCCGCAGATTGATCGGCCCGCACCCTCAGGGCTGTCTCTCTCTCTCTCTCGCACTGAGAGGGGCACCGGGGCCTCCGTCCTGAGGAGCGCGAGCCTGGCACCTCCGTCCCATGGGAGTCGACACACCAGCACTCCTGAGCCTGACACTGCACCTCCTGGTAGAGTCCTGAGTCCGTGCAGGTCGGTATGTATGCAGTAGAGGGGTCCCTCTCACAGGACCCAGACTGGGAAGTCTGGAAAGCAGCGCGGAAAATGCTTCCCACCTCTGTGCTGTCTTCTGCCTTTGACAGTACGATGGCATCTCGCAAAGTGTTAAGGAACTGCTCGCTCTCCAGCATCTGTCCTAAAAGCTTCATAAAATTCTGGTTGCTCCTCAAATTTATTGACCGGCCAAAAGAATCTTGGATATCCTGGTCTAAAATCACACTGTCAGTCCTAACGACCATCTGTGGGGAGAAGATCTTCGCCAGCTGGAGGAGATCTTCACTGGCCTGCATGAGGCCAACTTGGGTGAACAACTGTCTGAAATTAAAAGTGCCTCTACTTCCAACAGCAGCAGTGAAGTTAAAATTCCCAACATTTTTCAGAAACTTTCCCCCAAACAGATTTTCCTGCAGTCTCTTTGGATTAGCAGTCAGACTCAAAGCTTTAAGGGCCTTTGCCCCAGAGGGGAACAAACCCTGGATGACCTCAGCGAGAACATCTCCAAAGTCAGATCTCTCTGTGTCGGGAACAGAGAGCAGCAGGCCAGACTTGGCAAACAGCTCCTGCACTTCTGGGTTACACAGGCTAAGAGGCAGAGAGGCACTGGGCCCTTTAATTGACAGCTTGTTTTGTTGGCTGAAGGGACCAGAGAGACCGGAGAATACCCTGGAGAGGGCCAGCCGTCTCTCCGAGGGACAGTCTTTAACTGCATTTCCTAAACAAATAGACGCAAACACATTATACTGCATACTGATTCTGGAATAACATAAGTAGCAATGATGATGTTTTTTAAGGCATAAAATGAGCTCAAACTGCACAAACACATATAATTTTTACAACCTCATTGGAGTAAGATTATAACAGGGGAGGAAAGGGAAGAGGGACGGGCTGGCGCACTCACTGCAGTCCAGAGGCCCCCGGAGGCGCCGCATGCCGACAAGCTCATTCCCCTCGGAGTCCACGCACCAGCACTGCCCGCCGGCCTGGCACTGTGTGGACTTGTAAGCGCCGTTTGCGTCGCAGGCTGGCACAAACACATTCCCCGCTCTCAAAGAAGAAGATCGCTCACTCTCGCATTTAGTAAGACCTGCAGGAGAAGCGATAAAACAAATGGGATATAATGAGATGCTGTCCAAACGACAACAATGTATTTCCTGAACGCCTCATCCCCCATCTAATCCCCCCACACACCCCTCTATACACTCTCCCCACCTTTCCAAAAAGCCTTTACTAAACTCAATTTTATATGATCTGTCTCAGTGTAATCAGGTTCACCAGATTTGTGTCTGTGGCTGTCCTTTTATGTGCCACCACTAAGTATCATTGCTTCAGTTTTGGTGTGATCTATCTCAATATGAAACAGGGCCCAGATCGTTAACTCTAAAATGTTCCTGGGAAGTTTGCAAAAGATCCATCAAATACTTTTAGAGTTACTGTGTTCATAAGATCAAGTGCCTTCTATAGCAGCCTTTCCTTCCCTTGCTGCCACCAAGTTCTGTTGCTTCAATTTTGGTGCATTATGTTTCAAAATGAAATGAGGTGTAGTTCTTCATCCATATAATGTTTGGGTAAAGCAGCAATAAGATCTATGAAATAATTTTAAGTTATTGTGCTAACAAGGTCATGTGTCAGAGAGTGCCCCTCTCTTTGCTATCACTATGCAGTGCTGCTTTAATTTTAGTGCAATGTCTTAAAATTTGACCAGTTCCAGATCTTCTGTTATGCAATCTGTCTGCAAAGTTTGAAAAAGATCGATCCAATATTTTTTGAGTTAACCCGCTAATGAGATGTATCTGGATGGGAGGTAGCAGCAGACCAGTCCCTAAACCATATGTATTCCCAGACTGGGGAATATAGTGAGAGCAGTACTTCCCAATGCAGTCCTTGGGGACCCACAGACAGTCAGTAGGGAGCTGGGAGAAAACAAAAATATGGACTGTCTGTGGGGCCCAGAGGACCGGATTGGGAAAGACTGAGTTAGACAACAAACTCAATTTGAAGAGCACTTAGCCAAGCTGGGGTGGGGTTCACTGGTGCAAACTGGGATTCATTACCCCAGCGTTCAGGTTCCACAAGTTACTTGAGCTAAGGTATCAAGGGCTTAGTAGATGTGGGGGTGGTGCAGTTTATCACACACGTGGACAGCTCTTTGGGGGGGGTGGGGGTTGGTAGGGGTCCGTCCCTGAGTGCATACTTACATCGAAACCGCCCACTCATGAGCAGCTGAACCCCCAGGAATCGCCTTTGCAGGATGCGGTACATGTTGGATTGAGCAAATGAGCGCGTGGACTCCATTGTGGAGAACGCTGTGTCATATACCTCATCCAGCAGGAGCTCCACGCCTGCACAGAACACACAAAGACAGCACCTTATTAACAGAGCATACCATACAAATCAGGAGACCATCCGTCAGATATCCATTTCTGTGAAATGAAAAGACATCTTATCCATGCGCTCAGGGCTTTCGGAGGAATACCTTGGCAGATACAAGGGGCCCAGCACTTGCCAGGGGCCCATGAATATGTAAAATTATATGTAAAATTGGACTAGGGGCCCAAGGTAACATTTTTGTCAGGGGCCCCAAAATTTCTAGGTATGTCTCTGTGCATGCTCCTATACTGCTTTTTAGCTGTATTAGTCAGTGTTAGCTATTGTATCTCACCTCTATCAGCGAATTAGCTAATGTATCTCCCCTGTATTAGCCAGTGTTAGCTATTGTATCTCACTTCTATTAGCAAGTTAGCTAATGTATCTCCCCTGTATTAGCCAGTGTTAGCTATTATCTCACTTCTATCAGCGAATTAGCTAATGTTTCTCCCCTGTATTAGCCAGAGTTAGCTATTGTATCTGGCTTCTATTAGCGAGTTAGCTAATGAATCTCACCTGTATTAGCCAGTGTTAGCTATTGCATCTCACCTCTATTAGCAAGTTAGCTAATGTATCTCACCTGTTTTAGCTAGTGTTAAATAATGCATTTTCCCTTGCATGCCCATTAATTTCATTGAAGACTCCAAGGTCAACTCCTCAGTATTATTTCCGTAGCTCGAATAACTATGATCCATTATGGAGCACTCCTAGGATGGGCTAACACTTTTGACCTCAATATTTAAAAAATCCTGGCTACAGCCCTAATCCCCTGTTTTAGCCAGTTTCAGCTCTTGTATCTTACCACTGTTAGCCAGTGTTATGTAATATATCTTTCCTGCATCAGCTGGTGTTAACTAATGTATCTCCCCTGTATTAGCCAGTGTTAGCTAATGTATCTCCCCTGTATTAGCCAGTGTTAGCTATTGTATCTCACCTCTATTAGCCAGTGTTAGCTAATATATCTCACTTGTATTAGCCAACATATACTAATGTATCTTGCCTGTATTAGCCAGTGCTACTGTATCTCACCTCTATTAGTTAGTGTTAGCTAATGTATCTCACTTGTATTAGCCAGTGTTAGCTAATGTGTCTCACCTCTATTAGCCAGTGTTAACTGATGTATGTCACCTCTTTTAGCCAGTGGTAGCTGTTGTATCTCACTTTTATTAGCCAGTGTTAGCTATTGTATCTCACCTGTATTAGCCAGCTCCCTACCGCGACTGTCCACGCAGAAGCAGTAACTGGAAATCTCTGGAAACAATCTTCTGAAGCCACTGAAGGTCTGAAATGCCGCTGTGAATCTAGAAGAAAATATTGAACATATAGCAGCATATTCATATGCTTCACTTAACTGCCCTGTATGTCCACAACTGGCATGAATACAATGGCAGAATATTATGTAACACATAAAATACTAGTGTACAACCTAACATAACCTTTGGCAAGCTTACATTGCTACGAATTTCATTATGCATTCCATAGTCATTAATATGAGTTTTTTTCAAAATAATCAGTAAGCTCATTTTTACATTTTTTCCTATTAAACCTGAAATAAATGCATGATTTTTAAAAAACTTTTTTCCTGTTTTTCAAATGGAAAAAAAAAATATTTTCCAAAAGTCTGGGAAAATGGCTGATTTTGGACATGTGGAATAAATCTCATTCTGCCAAGAATAAGAAAGGCCCAAGACCTGACATCAAACCTAACCCGTCTCACTAATAAGACTGATCAGCCATGAAGATGAATGATGGAAGGCTTGGTCTCAATCTCAGCTCCAGAGCCAAAAGGCCACTGTAAAATTCAGCCTCCAGAGCTTCACACACTAGAGGTTGGATTATAGCCTGAGAGAAAAATGAGGCCCAGTGGGTCCTCCTCTGCATCACCCACAAATCCCCAACTGCCCCGCTACGCAATTTAAAAGCTGTTTCGACTATGACTGGAATCTGGCACATTTGAAGCAATGATGCAGATTCCTATTCCATCTCCATAATAAGACCATATATATAAGTGACCTACATAAAACACGCATCCATCCATCTTTTACCAACTTTCAAAAGATTACATGTATGAGGGAGAAACATTATACTTTAATTTTTTGAACTCTAAAAAAGCAACAGAGCTGGTTTTGATAATTGCAAAGAATCAAGCATAAGAATGGCAGATGTTTAGCACTCTTCCTAATGTAAAACAGAATCAACAAAACTTTGCTATGATAATTATTTTGAAGGGTGCTGCCATCTAGTGTTCAGAAATGTAAATGGTAAAATGGTAAATGGACTGCATTTATATAGCGCTTTTCTACTCCTACGAGTACTCAAAGCGCTTCACAATACATGCCTCACATTCACCCATCCACACTCACATTCACACACCAGTGGCGGAGGCTGCCATGCAAGGCGCCAACCTGCACACCGGGAGCAATTTGGGGTTCAGTGTCTTGCTCAAGGACACTTTTGATGGGGTCAGGAGGAACCAGGGCTTGAACCTGCAACCCTCTGGTTGCCGAACGATAGCACTACCTCCCGCACCACCATCTTCCCCCATGTGTTGGTGGCTCTATAAAACTTACTCTGAAGTTTTCTATTTGTATTTTTTATTTGTAGATCCTATTTGTATTCCACTGCAGGTATGCTCGCAGGTTCAGCATGAATGCCGAATCTGCAAGCAGTGAGGCGTTCTCACCTGCTGAAGGCATGCAGGAGATCAGCAACCTTCATATCTGTGGTGTTGATGAACTTGCATTGGACCGGAAGAAAGTTCCCATCCGCTGAACACTGAGGAGGAGATTGCTCTCCAACTCCGTGGAGGATGTGCCAGTCCCTGACCTCACAGTTTTCCGGACCTGAGGTCAAAAGTCATAACCTATTGCTCACCTAAGCACATCCGGAATTTTCAGGTTTTATTTTGTTTCGTGATAGGAATTTCTCCTCGACTTACAGCGAGAGGGTTCCCCATTCTGCCGTGTTCCATAGATCTCCATACCCTCCGGGTCAACACACCAGCACTGGCCGAGCACGCGGTCACACTGTATAGGCAAGAACTCCCCCAAGTCTGAGCACATGGGCGCCGTGCGTGAATCGCTACTCAGGAGAGCCTTCTGCCTCAGAAGCTGGCACGATGTCAGACCTGCAGTCGCAGAGTTGTGTTGGGTGTGATTAAAAAGATAAAAAGGGGTAGGATGAATGGTAGTTAAGACAACAGGTGAAGCAGGGCTTCACCAAAAAAGAAAGAAAAAATACAGAACATCCATTTCACATATGACTTTTTATCGATCATTTTAGTGCTGTTGTAGAATTACAACAACCATTTCCAAGTTCAAAAAGTGTCTGACAAAGTATTGATAGAAGGAACTTTAGTAAAACAAAACTTCTGCCTCACTATGCCAATAGACTTCAGTGTATTTCTCAGGAGCTTCTGTAGTTGATTGGATGGTTATGGAATATTGTATTTAAACCCACCCAGTAAAGCATGCCTCATCTGGTCTATCCTATTATGTGCACTCTTGTGCGTTCCTGACACAAAGATGATTGACACGAGTTTAACCACTCCGAAATCAGCCGTCAAGCAAGATTAATTAAATTGTTCACCAATATTCCTTGTTGGTTTGTGGACAAGTAAATGACAAACTCTGAGAGCCAAGAGTTAAAAATACTTCGATTTGTAAATACCGTTCTTGCTGATTGTAGCTAATCCCATATAGGTATATATATCCCTGCATGCATTTTTTGTTCTTTTCTGTGCAAACGGAACATTAGAGCAGTTGTGCACCTTTCCTGTATATTACACAATCATAAAATCCTGTTTTGAACCAATATGGGTCTACGTGGAAATTAGCGGGAGAACATTTTAAAACAAATTTGAGGAAGCACTTCTTTACACAGCGTGTAGTTAGAGTATGGAACAGACTTCCTGCTAGTGTAGCGGAAACTAAAACCATGGGTTCCTTTAAATCAGAGCTAGATAAGATTTTAACAACTCTGAGCTATTAGTTAAGTTCTCCCCAAACGAGCTTGATGGGCCGAATGGCCTCCTCTCGTTTGTAAATTTCTTATGTTCTTATGTAATCAGACACAACAACACAGTAAGGAAACACAGATTCTGAAAAGGCTGATTGATGTGATTTCATTCTTTGGTCAAGCTGGCATTTATGAGACACGATGAGAGTGAAAACACTGACAACAAAGGAAACTATAGAGAACTGACAGTTGCACTTTGCTGCTACGACAATGTTCTGTGTTTGTATTGCACATGCAATGTAGAGCAAAACGGTAATATAATGCTGTGTAGCCTGTTCATATTTGAATAAAGTCAGTCCATTCATTTTACTTGTTTTTCTGTAATGACTATTTCAGAAAAGGGTGCACCTGTTGAAAACTGTCAAATGTTTTTTTTAAGCATCGCTTTCTAAGTATCAGCTCACCAGGTTAATAGTTAAACAACTGATGGCTCAGAATATTTTAATATTTGCTATAATACTTACAGTAACGACTAATATGTGATCAGGTTTGAAATTATACCAGGGAGGGTCAGTCTAGAGCTTGTTTGACTAAAAGTTTTGACCAGCAGCTGCCACTACTGCGTAGGACAGTCCTGGACATATGAGAGGTAAGTACACGGACTTGTTAATACTCTTAAGATATTTAGCCTGAGTTGCTTCAGTGAAAATGTAAAAAACAGATTTAAAAAAATACCTAAGCAAACATAAAAACCCCATGCTTCCTCTACATCAGTGTTTCCCAACCCGGTTGTTGGGAACCCACAGATGGTCCACGATTTTGCTCCATCCCAGCTACCTAGCAGACAGGCCACATTTCTGCTACCGGGAGCGAAAACATGGACTGTCTGCAGGTCCCCGTGGAGCGGATTGGGAAACACTGCTCTACATAATCACCTGCAGTCTAACACTTACAATAGACAGATGAGCCGTTCTGTCTGCTGCCGGGAACCTCGGTTCCCTCTCCATCCACACACCAGCACTGGCTGCCCCCCTTGCTGCACTGCAAATGCCTGATGGGGGAGAAACGCCATTAATGGCTTTTGGGTAATCTACTGCTCACTGAGCGTGGCTCAGGTACGGAGCAGAGAGTGCCTGCCAAGGCTAGGCTCTCATTCTCAATGTGGCCCACCTGTACCGGCCGTCCTCAGAACACTGGGGGACGTAGTCCCTGGACTGGGCTGCCCCCTCCCTTCTCTGCTGCTCGCACTGGGAGGCGCCATCAGACCCCAGTTGGTACCCTGAAACGGATCAGAATCGAGCAAACAGGATTTAACAAACCAAACAAGCAAACTGGAGGGAAAAGTATCACAAACAGATCAGAATCATTTTTAGTGTAACTCATTGCACTGTCCGTGAAAACTGCATTACAGTTGTTCTGTCTACCTACCCGAAGTCCTGCCTTCTGACAGGGAGAAGTAGCAGAGCAGGATGGCAGCGAAACTAGCTAGCTTCCCCTTGGCCATTTCTACCTCACACCTTCTCGCAAGCCATAGGTCTCCCTCCAGGGTCCACCCGGAGATTTATATGCAGCCACCACAAAATGCAGAGTCATCCCCACCTCCAGCAGCCTAACCCCACACACCAGCTAAAGAGGCGTTTGTTTGCTAGGTTAGAACTCTTCAAACGCCATCTGCCCATGAAGAAGCACCACCGAGAATCTCCTGCCAGATGGGGCAGCCAGGCGTGGACTCGTTGGAATGTACCCAAGAAGAAAGTCTACGGCAAACATCAGGCCAGTGTGACCAAGGGCAACTTCGAGGTCTCTTGACGTGCCCAGCAGCCTGAGAGTTTACAGAGCTGAGCTCTTATCTATGAACATAAGAGAATCCACTTCATTAATCCGAAAGCAGAAGGTCAGTAGGGTGTCGCAAGACCCTGAGACGGGCTGTAAAAATAAACATTTCAACTGTTGTCCCCCTGTGGAAGGGAAACAGGACAAGGCGGCATAAGGGAGGCAAGATGAGAATTAATATATTTTTATTGAACAGTTTTACATATAGTATTTTACAGAACAGCCCATGTTTTAATAAAATTCTGAATGTACAGCTGGTACAGAAGTGAATGTCTACTTTGAATTTCATACCATACCATTTCTAAAACATACTATATACAGATTACTAGAAATGCCAAATAGTCGTAGCCATTTTATTTACTTTTGCTTTTGTTACAAAAACTGTACACTGTTCAAAACCTCAAAATGTTTCACCATGTTATTTTCTGCTCTTATCTGCAACAAGCACACAGTTTAACGCTAGCTAACTGCAGAAGGCTCGCAGTACAGGGTGCGGACCAGCCAAACCTGGGCCCGTCGATGGACATCAAATGGCCGCGGACAGAACCAACATGGTCCAAGTCTCTTCAGACTTCTCTGAACACACCAATGTTATGGAGAAAGCACCTTTTCTGACTAAAAGCAAAAATACTTTGTCAATAAACGTGTCACACGTCTTTTTTTAAAAAAAAAAAAAAAATCTGCAATTTCAACCCAATGTCCATGCTCACTGCTACATAGAACTTCTGAGTTGTACATCTTCTTTACTTGGCACAACAGCTATGTTATGAAGTCAGGTTTACAGATATAAAATCCTAGAAAGGTCAACAATAAATCACCTGTTTGACCTCAAATGGAAGGGCAGGCTGAACTTCTACAGTAATGCTCCCGTAAGTGGGCAGGAGAGAGGCTAGAAATGTTACCCGTCCTGTTCTAGGTGACACATTCGTGGGTTCCATCCCTTTCCATCACTTCCACATTATTTGCAGTTCTTACACACCCAACATTAAACACACTGTATTAGGGCAACAGGAGACGTTCATATCTCATTCCTCACATCTGTAGGTCTCATTGTAAATGAAACATATGCAGGAAAGTGCTCATTTTTCCCGTTATATGAATCTATTACCTCCTGAATACAACATAAATAGTTTCTTAGGTTGCTCAACTTTCTTGTGTCTTATAGATACTGGATACAGCTATATCTCATTTTCACCCAATTCCATGTGCATCTTCTTTGCCTCAGACACTGGATCTCGATGCTGTGCTTGGACTGCGAGACCCAGAACTTTCATCTACGCGAAAGCACCACGCTGGGGAGGAACGACGTCGCCGCCGCGGCTCCAGGATCCTGGCTCAGGCAGAGCACAGTGAGCTTATCTGCTGCACCTTGCTCAGGTCGGTGAGGAGCTGCTTGATCCGGCGTTTGAGCTGGGGGAGCCTGGCGAGAGGGTCTGGAGGCTCCAGCTCCCCGCTGAAATCCAGCCAGCTCTCCAGCACTGATGGGATAAAGCAGAAGATGTCAGCACTCAGACAGGACAGCAGCTGCTGTAGTACCCATTGGAGCAGCTAGATAATCAAGGTGGTCATGTTGACACAGCAGCCTTCAGGTTCAGATTATTAACCCTAAAGACTAATTTATACTTCAGTGCCAAGCTGAGAACGATGCCACTGTGTGCACTTCTATATGTGCACTTCTACGTGTGCACTTCTACGTGTGCACTTCTACGTGTGCACTTCTACGTGTGCACTTCTACGTGTGCATTGCTGTGCCTGCATCACTCGGCAATAACGGTAGGTGATATTCAATTGTTGGATCACACAGTTGAAATAAATAAACAAACATTTAACAAAGTATCCATTTTTCCAAGTCCTTGTTACATTCGTCTTGATAGAGTCCAACAAAACTTAATGGAGTTAAGTGAAATGGCCGCTGTACTCCTGAGTGTTTTGTAGACCTGTTGCTATGATGCCTAGGGTGGGATATTTAATGCTAGATATAAACAGAGCTTCAGATTCAATCAGCGATATATGTACACCTGGGATGTACGCTTTCTTCGCTCCCATAAAAAAAAAAAAAAATGAATGCTACGAAGGAGACCAATTACATTTTTGTGGTCTGCGTCTCTGCGACATGTAGTTACATTATACACAAGTATAAATTAGCCTTTACGCTAATGCTAACACCAACCCAATCTACCTGGCCTCCTGCCAACTGTAACCTTAAATGGTCCAAAAAACATCCATCTGTATGTAGTAAGTTTGGAGGATCGCTTTGACTAGGGTTCAGCTGACAAACTAACAGCACAGATGTCAACCAGATGTGACATCAGCCTGATCCGTAGCCCACAGGTGGTTGCATGGGCAGAGAAGGCGTTTTCTCTTGAGGGGCCCTTAACATCGAGTTGCCGTTATGCACTGCCAGTCATAGCGGTTCTAGATATATCTACAGAAGCTCTTTACCATCCAGCTCCTTCTCGATGAGGTCCATCCTGCCTGCCACCTGGCTCTGCATGTCCTCGATGTGAGTCAGAAGGTTCAGCTGCCATTCAAGGCAGTTCCTTTCCTGCTCAGACACTTCGGGGCCGCTGGCATTCAGGAAGCCGGAAACGCTGATCGCCGTCCTCTCCTGCGGGGGGGAGCAGATCAGGCTTTTACCTGCTTTACTGAAAGACGTGTTGAGTGTGATGCGTGTACAGAACAATAGAAGGGATCGTGATTCAGCAATGGCTACTATTACCAAGAAAACACCCCTCCAGGTCGAATGATTGACCCCCATCTAGGAATGCCAGAATCACTGCTACTGAAAGCTCCGGGATCTAAACTGCACCGGTTTGAGCTGGTTTAACTCTACCTCCTCCTCTTTGATCGGGGCCGGCCCCAGCCAAGCCCCGTCTTCCCTGACGGCGGGCCAAGGGTCCAATCCTGGCCCTGAGGGTTTCTGGTAGCTGTGCTCACTGGCAATGTAGGTGTCTACGTGGGGATCCTGGTTGGCGTCGTCGGGAGAATGCTCTTGGAAGTGCATGCAGTCCCGAAGGCTGCACGCCAAATGCTTCTCATCTGCGTCCACCCACGACTGGGCCCACAAGTGCAAGTTTGGGTCGTGCGTGTTCCTTCACAAAAAAAATGAGTTTTAATGGCTACAGGACTTCTGGCAGGATTTGTAAATAGATTAGACAAACTCAGATGTAAATCAGAGGTATGTGTGAACAACATTCATAATCCTGACTGTATCGTACTCTTTTTAACATTTAGTAAACACCGACAGCATTTTACTTAGCTGTAACTCAAATTAACTCGCTACACTCTCCAGATGCCAGTTATTGGCAGCCTTAAGTAACAAAAATATTTTGTTACTAGGAAATTAAAAGACAATAACACAAAAATGCTAGTCAGATTTATATGGCCATAAATCAAAAATCTATTCAGCAAACTCACACCTAGAAAACTGGTTAAAGGCTATATAATAGTATGCATTTATTAATCACCTTTAGGAGTGGCTTGTTTTGAGTATTGTTTAGAGAATGTATATTTAGTTTTACTTCTCGTTTGAAATCTTGTATGTCATCATGCATTGTGACGGCGTAGAAACAGTGCCTGACAGAGAGAAAAGGAAAAACCAGAGTGTGGGCTGACTCACTGTAATATATCCATCTTAAGATGCAGTCCATGCAGCACCTCTTTGACACTGTAGACATCAGACAGCAGCCGATGTGTGGAGACGATCTTCTCCGCGTTGCTGTGTGAGTAGTTCTCCGTGAGGAAGGACAGGCCATACATGTGTCCTTTGGTCATCCAGTCCTTATCACGAAGGTACTTGGCGCTCCATCTCTGACCTGCCAACCAAAGGGGGCATGCAAGAGTCAGAGCGGTGAAGAGGCGAGGTGGGGCGCGAGTGAGCAGAGCCCGCCTCTCACCTGGGGGGTCCCTGCAGATGTAGCAGATGTACTGATCGGGGATGCTGTCCTCCAGCAGGCCCATACACACACTGTGCTGCCAGCAGAGGCACTCCTCACACTGCAAGGGAAAATGGAGGGAAACGGGCAGGAAACAGGCCGGCTTTAGGCAGACACACAAATACACACAAAGACAGACAGACGGACGGACACACACGAAGACAGACAGACAGACAGACGGACGGACACACACGAAGACAGACAGACAGACAGACGGACG